CGTCTCGTCTATATTTTACTTAAGCTCTGGAAATAAGAGAGAAAACCCGATTGTGCGCTACAATCGATCAGGTCCGTCTTATGCTATCCTTGGTCCTCTAGCCGCTATGATTCGTTGCCGGATATGCGAATTTCGATTTGCGAAATCGTTCTCTCGTCGTCGCTTCTCGCGCGATCTCTTCCGTTTTACGTTCACACGGGGACGGATGATCCTTCGGAGATTTTGAAACAAAGGATATTCCTACGATAGGAGAAATCCCGTATTTACATCGAGCTTTCGCACGTGCTTAAAAGCCGTATTCTAGAGGTTTCGTACGCAGAGCTGCGATCGTGTATAATGTAACATCGATTGTTTCTTCTTTCCGTGCAGATAAAATAGAGCATGCGTTATCACTTAAGCTACACATTTCGCTTTCTTTAATCACTTCCATTTCTTCTAATCGCTTCCATTCGCAGCTTTTCTTTCACAGCAAGAACTTCCCAGAAAATAGGTGGGAAGTATACATTGGATTAACGACCGCACACTGGTATAAAATAACGCTCGTTGATAATATTTATAATAATTACAAAAATATGTTAAAAAGTGCACAAGTAAAATATAAGAAATCTGGGAAATCAGGACGATCAACAAATAGAAAATTTTAAAATATTGGTCATGAAATATCTCATTAAACTGACGACATTAGTTAACATCGTGACATGGCATCATTGGTTCTTTCAACGACTCACTCGATCAATTTTCAAAAACGGATGACTTTGGCTTCGATGGACTATGATATGTGATAGACGAATGGTTATATTCACAATCGGCATAGAACTCTCGGTACATCTTGAATGCATTTTTATTTCATTATATTTAGATTCAGACTAAAACAGGAATGACATCGAAAAAAAATGGTACTTTTCAGTAATTCCAATTGACAATCAAATTAATTATTTTTAATCAATTATATTATATTCATTCTATGTTAATATTTTACTACTATCAAGACGCACAGTTGAGATTCATTGGGAATGTCTAATGATTATATTGTAGTTATAATTGATATATAACTGAAAAACATGTGTTAAAAGTAATTTTGATGGAAACGATTACGAAGCTTAGTGTACACCAAACACATACGTGTTATTTATGTATTTAAACGTGGACTCGCTTTCATACAATAGAAGTATAGTGATATTTCATAATCGATTCGGATGTACGATTCTAAAAAAGGCACATTCAGGCATCTCACTTGTAGCAGCCTCAATCGAGTTTAATTGCGTAAACTTGTTGCGAGGAAAATTAATTGCCCGATGTAAAGATAAAGAATCATTTTCAATTCCGATTTAATCTTCACTCACTTATCATATTAAGCGTTTGCATACAAACCGATATATTTGTATATTATTATAATAATTTAATTTAACATTTTTTGTCGTACGAGAACATTTTCAAAACTTTCCGGATTTCCAATAAATATAAATCGCAGGTTGCATCTGCTGGTTAAAAATTCAACAGTTAAAATTCATCTATTTATAAGAATTGATACAATTATTTTTTTAAACATCAGAAATAATAAAATTATAAAAGCAACAATTTTCGAATATCTACATACGTATCATATATACGACATCCTGCATACGTGCCTCAAGAAATATAATACATATGTATATATGTACAATGTCCTTTGTTTATCGTTGAACTTTGCAAATATCATCATAATGAATATCTCCAAGGATAAAAATTGGAGACATAATTATTAATATATTATGATTTAAACATGAAAGCGAATCTTTTGAGAAAATCTTTTTGATTATCTATGCATATCTTCTTACGATCAAAATGATTAGACTGTCATCTTGGAAAATCTTATTTGCGTATACTTTGAATCTTTCTTTGAATTTATTGCCATTAATTTGCTATTAATTATTTTTGATCGGCCAACGCGATATCTATCGAAAAGAAAGCAATAAAGAAAGAAACCGGAGGAGGCATCGGAAATAATATGTATCAAAGCTTATACATAATACAATAATAATAATAATTCTAACTACATCAGAAATCTTCGTATTGAGTGGTACAGAAATACCAAGGCACTGAGTGAATTTTAATTAAATACACGCCTATTCGACTGATTTATGTAAATACTTGGTTCGATTACGTGCTTCACGCTCCATAATTACATTTCCGAAGAAGAGAGATATCGCGGTGTGGTGATTTCAACGGAAAATATTTACAATTCTGTTTCTCATCCGAGCGTAAGCGACGCGATCTCGCTCGCGCGAGAGACGGCGACCTTCGACGCCGGCAGACGATCTTTGAATTACGACGCCTCGAATCTGTATCGTGTAATCACGCGTGCAATCGCGGCTGTGTGTATCTACGTCTCGTCGTTAATCGAGATAAGGCCGATCTGTGTCACTTTCACAGTGATGTGCCGGTCTTCCCTTGCTCCGTTCGTGATGCACGTATCCTACATCTCGGATATTTCGAGACATTTTCCGGTACGTCGACGCTACGTTATTGGAGTATGGCTAACTCCGAGGCACAACTCGTAGTTATAATCGGGCCGATAAAATAAAAGGAGTGATTCGAGATAACGCGAAAGTAACGTCGCGTTCAATGTAACTTATATTTTCGTATCGACCGATACAGATTTACGATACATATCGGTGCCGTTTCGACGCTGAGACGCTGTCGCGCGTTGCTCGAGAGAAGCCGGATTAGCATTTTGCATATGTATATATCATGTCAAGGAGAGAAAATAGGCGTAGTTATCGGTATGACGAACGCGAGATGCGCTACATCTCAAAGCGATTCTCATTGATACACGTCAGCATCATTACATGTCAGTCATTCATTATGGTAAAACATTAATTGAGAACGCATATGTATATCTTCACATTGAAGCGACACTCGCCGACACTGCGTAAGGCGGATGTAAGAGCCGTACGTCAGAGACCAGACAGTCACGAAAGTTGATAATGAAAGCATCGACATTTTTAATCTGCACCGTACGTTTCAGACTTTGATATTATATATAATCACGACGAGAAATTATAATCATCTTCGTTTAATCGGATGATAGCAGCGAGATCTTTCCTTCTGCTCCGATTCAAAAAGTTACTCCCTTCGGGATTCGTCTTATTTTACTGTCTATCTACATACTAAATTGCTCGCGTAAGAAACGCCGGATGGTTACGAGTGCCGCTATTTCCAGAGAGATATTACATTCTGATGCAGACACACACACACACACACACACACACACACACACACACACACACACACACACACACACACACAATTGCCTCCCCCAACTGGTCACGGCGATGTCGCGATCCAACGATACATACCGCTCGGTTATCCGGTTCGAGAGCCCGGTGTGCGTTCACGGATGAAGCGTCTGTCAGGCGAACGGCGAGTCTCAGCTACTGCCGGGCACGGATATCATGTGGTAACCCGCGGAGGGTGTCGAGTGCGATGGTACCGGCGAGTGCCGGTTGCCGTTCGAGTGCTGTTGCTGCTGTTGCTGCTGTTGCTGCTGCTGCTGCGGCGGTATCTGGCAACGAGCGATAATCGAGCGCCGGCGCCGCCGGGTGCTGACCTTCTCGGTGCCTACGCAGATCGACCTTCCTCTGGAACGCCTTGTCGCAGAGGCCGCACTGAAACGGCTTGTAGCCGGTGTGCTTACGCATGTGCGTGATCAGGTTGCTGCTCTGGGAGAACGCCTTGCCGCACACGACGCACTTGTGCGGCTTCTCGCCTGTAACACGGAATCGAGCAGGCAGTGCCTGGGTCAGTGCCTGCGCCATTCCACTTTCGTATCATTATTATCGCATTGATTGACAATTTTCAAAAGATACTTCGATACCACATTTTCCTTTAAAAATTATTTATGATTGTGCGTGTAAGGGCACACTTCTATTTATATATATCATGTATGCTCTTCATGTATTCTTTAAATATTTTCTGCATGCCGACGCAAAGTAAAAATCGTCTAAAAAGTCTGCCGAAGAAGATACTTTTAACTTTTTTCGAATTTCACAATGTTTAAATTACTATCGACTTAATAAAAAAATAATAATGAGAAACGCGTTGCGTTTCTAATAAAATCAATCAGTTAAGATGTGTGCTCGTGAATAGTGATGCGAGCGGATGCAATAATTCTGATCAATGACGATTAACCACGTTGATCGTGGGACAAGAGGCATGAATTACGAATGCGCGCGTTATAAATTCGATTATCGAAGAAGAGAGAACGGCGCGCGATCTGGAATAATGAACCAAGGTTAACCAAACGCAACTGAATCAACCAATAAATCGTGGCGTCAGCCGACGATAGAGCATTTGCGCATCTGATGACTAAAGCCTTTTCTCAGTCCTTCGGAAGGCGACTGATGGTTATATCTTAGCTTAACTCGTTCAAGCCACAAAGTACAATTAAGAGCAATTATTTTACATGTAAAATGAGCAATCAAAGTGTGTCGCCACGCGTTCGCGACATTGATATGTGATGGCTGACAAATAATCGATGTGCTTCGATGCCTCAAGGAAAATTAATAAGGAAATTAAAGGAGACATCGATTACCGTAAGACGTCATAGACGAAAAAAGATAATCGATTACTTGCTGCACACGATGTGTTAAGCTATATAGGATATTAAAAAAAAAAAATTAGAAATTAAATTACAGCCAATGCTTATTAAGAAGAGTGAAAAAAATGTCTATTTAATAAAGATGTCGAAAAATTAATCTATTTTTATTTTTAATTTTTTTACATCAATTTTATTCAGTGAGTTTGCATATAAAAGCGTAAAGGTAAGGCGATATCGAGAAATGGATAATTTGTGAGATGTTTTATATCTCACAGGGATATATTTATTACTTCAATAATATTTCGATATAAACCAATCGATTTATATAAGAAAGAGATATACAGAATTCACGCAGAGGTGCAAGCAAGCCACTTGTGCTAACAAATCGAAAATCGCTTCTATCTGCGATATGGTTAATTTTTCGTCGACACGACCGAACGTTTCTTTTATTTTTCTTAGCGTTTATCAATATGTACAAAATATTGAACTTTCCTTTAACAATCTGTATACACACAAATTAAATCGCTTAATAAATAAAGATTATCTATTCTTTCCTTCACTTCATGTGCACTTTTGGTAATAAATTGTCATAGGCGGTATAAGAATTATTAGCAAAATTATATTTCATCGTAAAGTTCCACGACAAATATGGGTTCATCAAAGGCGGAAAGTGTCACGGGTGAGCGGTATCATTTATTAGCGTCGGTCGCATAATCTCACACGCATCTCGCAACTGCTCTCGCGCGATATCGTTACATGAAAGAAAAAAAAAAAAATCAACAACTTCTGCATTAATCGCTCTCGCGAATCTTGTGACGCTCAAGTACGATCGTCCCGCACGCAGATCGCGACCTCGTGGTAGATAGCAATAATAATAAAGAAGGAAGAAAAAAAGAGAGAGAGAGAGAGAGAGACCATACTTGTAAACTCCTGTCACGGCCTTCTAAAAGTCCGCCATCACTCGTCTAACGACGATCGACCGACGGTGATAGTACCGAGTAAACACCTGTACCCGCGGAGACGGTGCCTCCCTTCCTCTCTTGCTCGAAATTTCCGAGCAAACAGTTTTACGATTGTAAAGCGACGATAAAAGCGAACGGACGCCTCCGAATGTTGTAACGCGACGGAAGGCGTCGTCGTTAAGATTCTATCGAAAAGAAATTAATTTCGCAGCGGACGTTGTATGAGTAGTATCTGCCCTCCCTTCCTCCCTCCCTCCCCCCTCCCCCTCCCCTCTCATAAACATGAAAGTGGAAAAGAGAGTCACAAGTGTTCCGGGGGATGAACGACTCTCTTCGCGGAAAAGATAGTAACTTTCTGTCAGCTTCTGTGTGAAGCGCGGCGAAGTAATTGCGGGGTATTTAATAATTTGCTCGCGCAAAATGATAGCATCGGTGACGAAAATGTTTGGATTCACGTCCAATCGAAGACTACAATGTACCACAGCGAAGTGTAATGTACTGAAAGTGTTTACGAAGAAATAAAATGGCGTTGAAGTATATATCGGACTTTAATGTAAATTATATTCATCATTTTGTGCTAAAAGATTTATTGAAACAACAAATTCAAATTTATCGCATAATGTATTTCAAATATCCGTAATATATACCCATAATGTGTAATACATAAATTACAATTTTAGAAAAATACATGAAACATGTGTATTTCTAACAATTTTCAATAGACGGAATATGAAATTAAACCTAGTGAAGCAACGCAAATGTAAGATATCATGGAAATTTATTTTCGAACTTCCGGGGAGAATGTGATCTCTCGCTACGGAGAGAAAATTTGTCCATGCATATTTCTTTATGAATTATATTCCCCAACAATCCTCGATATGTACAAAGGAGGCAGAAATCGATATTCTCGGATATCTTCCGTGCGCTTGGAATAAAGAAACTTTCTTTTCTCTTGAAAAGCAGTTCTGACTCATTCGGCGATGCGGAACGTTTCTTTCCTTTAAATTTTCTGACATTTCATTCCGATATATTATTGTCGGAATTATCGCCTGCAATACGAGTACGTACAATAGCGTGGTGGATGACGAGTGTCGCTTTGTCGAAGCAGGCACACCGTTTCTTACTATCCTTCGCGACCACGAAGGAAAATACAATTATCGTAATTGTACCACCTACGATTCAATTTTTATATCGTACTATGTGGGAAGAAGTGCTATTGTATGCGTTAATATCTCAAGACAATTTATGGACTTAGAGTAAACACATCGATTACGTTTTGTATATTTTGTGATATGTTTCTCGTACGTTTGTATCAACAATGAATAGGATAATTGTGAAGCAACAAATTGCGAATAATCTAGTTAAGCTAGCATCTAATCACTTAGGAGAAGTAATATCAAAATAATTGAAACGTGATATGATTCGTACTGTGAATCTCAATACTTATTCCTGAGAGAAATTCCGCGAAATACTTCTCCAAAAGAAATCTAAGAAACGAATTGTCATTTAAGATTATATTATATTTATTGTTATATTTTTATAATTTTTGTATATGTATTTTTTTAAATTAAATAAAGTTTACCTAAGATTATTCTAAATCGATATATTTAAATTTAAAAATAATACAAAAAAGTTTAGCGGTCTTTTAGAATAGTCTATAACTTTTTTATAACTTTTTCATTGTAAATAAAAATAGATGTAATATATGTCTTTAATCATTCGCTGCGACTTCGATCTATCATTATAATTACGATGATAGATAATCGAGCGGATGATGAAAATCGTGCATAACAATTGATTTGCTTGCAAGCTTGTCTGATAATTTATTCATGTAAATGCGTAATATTCATTCTACCGCACTGATACACGTTGCATATTTACGCTATTTTCGAGCACGTTACTCCAAGTAATAAGATGGTAATACAAACTTGTGCATGCAAACTTGCAAATATCGCGTACTTAATTACAACATTCGTCGAGCAAGTAAATGCGACCGATTGTTATTCCGCACGCATGTCTTTCGCGGTTGTTTTACGATGACGTACGTCACATTGTTGATGCTACGAGTATCTTTTTATCGAATTTTACTTCGCAACGAAACATATTTCTCTGGCGCTAAATAACGAGTCGAAATAAAGTATCGCGAGAAATACGACCATACTTTTAAGAGCGGTTATGCTTCCATGAACAAAGCTTTATCGGGAACTTTATTGGAAGTCCGCGCTCATGATTCAGAGCTTCCGTAGTCGCACGACGATGTGAACATTTTACAAAACTAGAACTTACAAAAGTCGACGAAAAAAAATGATAAAATAAGGTTAAAAATAACGCACGAGAGCTTGCTTTGAATATATAACGCAATCGTAATAACTCGTTAATATTTAATTAATTCGCTCGAGGAGGGTGGTAAAAGAAGAGGGAGGGAGAGACTAATATTCGGATCGAAGCGGAGCGATGAAATCACATTTGCCGCATTTATTTGCCTTTCAAGACTAACGTAACGAGGCACGTTGTCCGTATCGTTCGACGGAAGGGCAGGTTTCGGAAGGTTGGAGAGGACGAGGAGAAAAGTGTGACACCGCGATATTTGTCCTGGACTTTTTAATTTCTCCACGGGACAAGGGTGGTATCGGCGTCATCCCTCGCGCGCGGACGCACGAACGAAGAAACGCGAGAAGGTACGCGATTCGCGGGTTGCCGGACAATATTTATCGAGAGTGTCAGCGACCCATACGAACGTGCGTATACACCTCGTCCTACGTACTACGTCTATCGATCCATCTCGACTCTCATTACCGGCCCCTTACCGGCCGACTTAAATATTTACCGGTTGTAACGTTTGCTTCGCGGCCGATTATAATGATAGGAGCGAATAGCGCGCTTCTCTGTATGTGCGCGCGCGCGCGTCTCGTCCGTGTGCGAGGCACGACGGCGGAGGGAG